TGATAACAAACATTGGCTTTTCTTTATTTCATATAAAAATTGACCTGCCGATCCTTACCAACAATTTAACGACAACTTGTGTTTGAAATACATCAGCCTTAATGCTACAAATCACTAAACCAAGGTCAGTTTTAATGTCACATATTAGTAACTTATCGTTTGGCATTTTGACCACTAAAAGAGTGGATATATTATTATCGTAACTTCAGTTAAATTAATACAGTACGTGCACTTAAGCACCGAGGTTTGACCATACAACCTCTAAATACATGTAGATACATCCACTACTGTGTAAAAAGTAAAAATAAAAGTATCCTCTTAATCTAAGTAATTGAACAAGGGATAGAATAAAAGGTTTAGAAGTTAATTTCAACTCGATATAGCAGTTACAATCTACCTTTGTAAATTAAAGGCAAATCTTTAATAATGGCCGAAGAGTTCTAAAGCTCTTATAGAGCGTTCTAGTGAGCAATCAACGATGTAGTTTTGACTTTGGACAAACGTCACAACCTTAACCCTCAAACTGTCCTTCTTAATAAGTATTCATATACCATTGAGTTTCAACTCACTATGTTTAATTGTATTCAATTGCCCATTTTTGGTCATAACTTACAACAGGGTCAACACATATGTACTCAAAGGGCGACTATCTCAAATCTGATAGAGAGAAACCTAAGAAGCCAATGAACATTTCAAACTCTTGCCGGAGTGTAACCGACGACCTAGCTTCCATTAGCTAGTTGCATAGCTTCTCTTGCATTAAAACGAAATATTCTGGCACAACTTTTATTAAGATAACATCTCTTAAAATGCTGCTACTAGCTTGTTAAAATGGAAGACTGGATCAAAGGATTGTTTTTTCCCATTTGATGGAAGACTTTGCATTAACATCGGAACGACTTTTTGTGCTAACTGGTAAACCAGCTCTCGCTTTGTTTTCTGTCAATTTATCAAAAAAGATTTACGGTATTATGAAAACATACAAAACCTTTATGGTACTTTACGGAAAACAAAAATGTCATTATTATAGACAAAATAGGTAGACAAAGACAAAAATAAATGTGAAATCTCTTACAAAGTTCATCGGAAAAATATTTATGTATTTCGATACTATTTATATGAGTATCATATTTACAGAATATTTATAGAATATTTACGGGATAAATAAATAAATAGATATAATACGTATAGATAAATAGATATAATACGTATATCCGTAAAATGTTTATCAACATGATACAAATTAGACTACATTATCATTTGACCATATTCAAGTTCATTTTAAAACATTCTAAATGAGATTTTGCCAATTAGTATAGTTCGCCAACATGAAAGCGGTACAAAAAGCATTTTAAATCACCATTATGTCTCAAAACAGGAATTCTGATATAATGCAAATGCAGTACTATGGATAATTTTTTTTTACAATAATTATTCTACAGAAACAAATGTGTTCACTTACAATAATATTACTGTTTTAAGTAGATATTACTGTTTCAAGTAGGGAAACATTCCTATAGGTAAACAAGCTATAGAAGATCGTTTACATCATTCTTGTAATATATTACCTTGTTAGTTGTTATCATATAGACAAAGGGAGGTAATAAACACTTAAAATTCTTACTACATAGACTTGAATTAGTGTGTGTATATATATTATATATATATTAACCGTAGATTTTGCTTATCGTTAAATCATGAACAGGATAAAAAAACTGATATCTTATAGATCGTTCTAGCTTGCAGCGTTTTCTATAATTATATCATACAAGTTCTATCTCTATTTTAGCTATGATTCTCCGACTCGTGGTTCTTCAGTGTAAAATTTTATAAAGCTGGACGGGTAGATTTAATGCTCAACATTCTAAAACATGAATAAATTCCTTTGCAGTAAGCAGGTAAGTACATTCATCGAATTCATTTCAATACATTTACTTATCAGCCATTAAACATACAGACGCCAGTAAACGAATCTATTCTATCGATAATGGACATAAATAAAAGGGTAAAGGCTTAATAAACGAATGAACAAATAAAAAATGTAAAAGAGCTGCAAAATTTCAATACAATACGGAATAAACCCCACTGCAGTCTTACAAAAATATAAAAAAGACTGATAAAAAAAAAAACGAAAAAAAGAACCCGGGGAAATGTTCAACACTGTTTTCAGATATGAAGATGAATCTTTATTTCATGCTGAGAAATTTAATGGTACAGTGAAACAAAAGACAGACTGTTTAAAATCATTTATTTTTATATTCCCTATAAACTCTTAACATGAATCATTCCGCGCCTATATGTTAACGGGAATTCCTTTAAAATAGTTTTCTTGACAGTTATTTGGCCTAGCAATTTGTTGAAACGAAACACAGTCTTGAACTGAAAGCTTCCAACTCAATTCCCAAATGATCTCTGGCCGCCACATATAAATCGTTTTTCAATACATACAAACAAACACCGAGAAGTCGTAGAGAAAAAAAGCGGATCACGGAGTATCGTTATCTCCCGTGCTAACAGTAAACACCGATTGGAAACAGTTCAGGGAAGCACGTGTAAACAGATATAAATAAAGATAACATAATAATCAATTATCACGTACCTGAATAAAAAAACAGGAATTTTCAATCACTATAATCAGATAACAAGATAATTTTGATAGCATCTTACTAGAAACATGTTTCCTCATACTATATTTTCGCTGTTTACGAGATACCGTTATATTTTAAAGCCGTCTCCAGAACACTATGTGAGCGACTCAGATCTTTTTACCTGACCTGGCCTAACCTAACGTAACCCCACAGACGCTAAAAGTGACAATGAAAGTATGGCGATATGTTACGACGTTATTGTGACTTGATTAAAAATCAAACAAAAAAGAAGCAAACACAGTCTCTACGTTCCGTATCCTGGAACACTTATTTTCTTAAACTGTAATTTTTGAGACCAGTGTAAGACGTACATGAATTATTCAACAGGATTCAAAAAATTTAAATCAAATTGTATGAGTACTTTTAGTTCTGTGGCAATAATTATTAAGAGCTAATTACATAAACAGCGTTAATATGACATTATGGGCGTCAACTCGGCAAGCCTCGTTTCCGCTCAATGAGCGGGTAACTTCGGCATGGATCTTCAAATCAACAAATGACATATTATTTTTCAAAAGTTTTATTCTACGTTCATTTTGTTCCGAGTCCAAAAATCCATATCAAATCCATATTGTATTCCATCTAGCCTAGTTCTCATGTTTCGCGTAAAAAATCAATATAAAATAAATATTGAAACAACAGGGTTCTGTCAAAATGTCAAAAAATTTAGAGATCATAGTACATATTGCTGAATGCAGAAAAATATTCTACTAGCTGCTTACCCATATCAGCCTTGACTTGTGTCGCGTCCAATATAGGTTTGACATATGTGTACTCGTCCAATAAATTTAAATTCGGTATTTTTCTCAAAAACGTATAATAACCTCATAATATCTTAATAACTTACATGTGAAAGTAACAAAACATAACGCCTCTATCTACTGATATGTATGATATAAATAAAAATGGTATAACCATAACACGAACAATACAATACAATACAATACAATACAATACAATACAATACAGCGTTATAACAACTTCAATGTCTAATACAATATCTATTAAATCAGGTATAAGAACATAATTATACTGTATATCTTTCATGGAACAGTTAATATATATTTCTCTAATAGAGATAAAATTTCACCATGGTTACTTAAAGACATTTGCTTGTTATTTCATCATAAACTTTAGTATGAAAAATTCTCATTTTATTTGCAAATTAAACACATTTTGCAGATTTTGACACAAATCTGACTAAAGTTCATTTCTACTTATTTCTTATATGTAGTGTTATGTAGGAGGTGGTGGTAATCAGGTTAGGGTTCACACTGTCCTGTTTGGGATGATATTGACATGATATCTCTTAACTGATTTAACTTTGCCCACTGAAATTATAGTGTTTTGTCTAAAATGAGATTTGCATCCGTTCTAGATACATTTTGTATTAGATCTACTACATGATTTACAAAGCTTATATTATCTGGGATATCATAGAATCTACCTCGTCCTCACAAAAACTATAAATACATACTATAAGATTATATACATTGTTGAGTACAATACTGAATTCTATTGGACGAGTACAGAGTTGTCAAACATGCATTGGACGAGGCACTAGCCGAGCCTGATATAGGTTTTGCAGCTGTGTACAAGTCTAATTTCTCAATCATGTTTAATGACTTCTTTATTTCACACCATCGTTTCTTTGCATTTTGCCAGAAATTTGTTACTTCTATTACAATAAGGTTTGATATGGATTTTTGGCTTTATAATGAAAACAATGATAGATAGAGTGCGATATGGATTTGATATGAACATTTTGGGCTCTGGAAATGAAGACCAGGCGATATGGGATGTGATATGGATTTGATATGATATTGTTTATTGATATTTGATATTGTTTACATCTGTTTATACCTAGAATATTTTGTTTCATATAATATCACAATCAGTTCTATTTGATTTCATCAAACAAAGAAAATGTTCTTTTGAAAAGCTCAATTATTTCCTTAATGTTACACTTAGCGTGGGATTTCGAAAAAAGGAAGTGTTGGACGTATCAACAACAAATGATGACTCAAATGAGATTAACGCTACGCCCTATCAATAGTAGTATGTTGGCGAAAAATGCTAAAAATAGTCAAACTGAAACTTAGAAGTTATACCTTAAAATAACCAAAGTAGATGAATCACCTAAAACGTACAAGTGGTGGGTGTGGTGTATTCTTCACGTTCATTATACATTAATGTTGTAAGGTAATTTACCAAAAATAAAGACGTTGAGAGTGTTTTTTTACTGTAGAAAAGATTACAATATACCACTATGTTGCAGCAAACAGTAAAATAGTCTAAATGTTGTACTGGCGCACTGTTTTTCTTACTTATCATTTATTTCAATTACCCAGCAAACAAAAGACGTTGTACCAACGTTGTACTGACGTTAGACCCTGACGTTGGGTAAACGTTGGCAGAAGGTTGGATTTGAAATTTTTTTAGACGTCAGAATCCGACGTCTATACAACGTCATAAAATGACCGATATCCAACCTTATCTGACCATAATCCAACCTTTTCTGACCATTATTTGGATATAATCCAACCTTTTCTGACCATTATCTGACCATAATCCAACCTTTTCTGACCATTATCTGACCATAATCCAACCTTTTCTGACCATTATCTGACCATAATCTAACCTTATCTGACCATGATTTAACCTCATTTCAAACTTTTTGGAATATGATTTTTTTCATTTTAAGCTCATTAGTATGGTAAACAAATAAGCATTCTCATAAATTTAACAATTTATTTTCAATTCGAATTACATGTACAAAACAATAAATGTGGTACTATAACAAATGTAACATTAACATATTAATGTATTTTGAAACTATTAAACTTGACAGTATGTACGTAAATAACGCTTCATGTATTAAAAAAAACATGTTTTAGATATACAAAATTCTTCATAAACATTAACACTGACATTTTTTATGGTTAACATTCATGCATGTTTTTCTTATATCACCAAGGCTTATTTCCGACTGAATCGATCACCCTAAGCGATTTTCCACTCATCTATCCAACTCACTGATTGTTTATTTTTCTTTGTACTTTTTATCTGAATGTTGAATGGAACAATATTGTGAATATTTTGATATTACTACAAATAGCAATGTTCATATATCTAAATTAGCATTCTTCTTTTGTCCACCTCCACTATGGCGAGCTGGGGCATACTTTAAAGTTTAAGCATATCATAATCTGAACCTTTACCATCTCCAACATGAGATATCATCATTCACACTATCTGAAATTTAAAAATAAATCAAATAATCACTTACAATTGCAAGAAATAAATCACTTTTACATATTACAATTAAATGAAATTCTGACGAAACTCTCTAACTACTTTAACAAAAGAGGCTTATTTTTTATTTACTATAGTTTAAACCATGTAGTTTCATGTACCTATATATTCATTGATTTTGATAAAAAATGGCTTCGTGATCAATGTAATACTTTGAAATATACCTGTCTCAAATCTTGTGTGTTTTTTTTTCTTCTTTTCCTCTTAATAATTTCATCTTCCTCCTCTGAACTTTCGACAGTTGTTGAATTGTCATAATTTTCACAATCCCTGATATTCACTGAAAGACAAAACAATATTATGATTATCAAAGCACGTTTACGAAAACAACCTGATAAAATGTTCAATTAATTATTTTCATTAAGTATGACCTGAAAATTTAGTAAGAAATTACGATTTTTGCCTGCCCAAAATTTAATACGAAAATGATAATTTATACAAATGCTACAACATCAAAGAAATTCACATGTTACTGTCATGTTTATAGATATAATCTCTGCCCAGCATGATCCGATCTGCTAAGAGTATAAAGGACAGACTGGCTGAGGGTATAAACGTTTTATGATATGAGCATATAACTTGTTTCACTATATTTGATAAGCAGGCTAATTAACAAACTAATATTTTTATTGATTTATAACCTTGATAATGTGTTTACTGACTGATAATATGTTGTCTGATTACATTAATGAAAAGATAAGTAGTCAAAAACAATGTGGTTTCAGATATATCTTACCAAAGTTGTATCATTTACATGTATCAAATGCCATGAATCATTATCATAATATAAGAAACACGTGGTATGCTCATAATGCATGGGTAAAATACTTCAATTTAACAACCTGTAGTTAAACAACTACACAAACATCAAAATCAAACTGTGCTTGAGACCCTACAGTTATCTGATACATGTGTATATAAGGGAAATTCATGTTGATAAGAAATAAGAGGAAATTTTATATGCCAGCATTTGAATAATGAGATATAATTAACGTACTGCATTTAACCTTTTATTGATTTCAATTGCTAGTATATTTCATACCATTGATTATGCAAAAAATAATTTGGCAATGGCGATATGGTGTGGGAAAATCCGATAATACAAATTGTTCTAAAGCAAACAATAAAGTGCTCTAACGAGGAAACGAAACTATTTATCTCGCGAAATCATGTGACTTTAAGTTTTACGAGTCAAACTTTACAATGATCAATTAACCGTCGAATCCATGCAAACATGCGGTAAATAAGCATTAAAAACAATATATAACGTTTGCCTACCTTTTTCTATTTGTTTGGAATATACAACTTTGGCTGTCAACCCGTCGTTTTTGTCCGTCAATACAATTGAATTTCAAATCCGATAAGACTCCAATTCGAATTTACTAGATTATTTACCACTATAAAACCACTATAAAATGAAGCCCACAAAAATGGTTACAACTTCATTTTTAATTATTTAAACACTTCTTTGACTAATTCGAGGAGATAAGTTATTATTAAAAAGAAAATAGAGCAAATATATATTATACTGATCTGCGGCTATCCGTTTACCGAGCGCCACCTATCGAATATCGTACGGTAGCCACCCACATGACACTGTTGTTGTTTTGATTAGGCAAATAAATTTATAATTTTCCCTTTCTAAAGAAACTTAAAATTCTCACTCTTTATGCTTATATTTATATGTATTGGTTTTATAAATTAAATTTACCAATTGTCAGATTACCGACCAAAATCCGACGTCGAGTCGACGTCAAAATGAAACGTTTGTTAGACGTCGGGGTTTCAACGTTGGTTTGACGTTGTGTGAAGGTCGCCGACGTCGCGACCAATTTTCAACGTTGATCCAACGTTGTGTCAACGTCGGGTGTTTGCTGGGTAAGTCCATTATGCTTGCAATGATAATAATAATAATGTAAAATATGCTATCTAGAGATAACATAAATGCATCCTGGTTAATTTTTAAATTTTTAAAAGTAATGCACCAGTCATGCTCATTATCTTTTAGTAATATAAAAAGCTAAGAAAAGCATGAACAGTAAGAAAGGTATTTTAAAAGAAGAGGAAAATTGAATTCAAGAATGTTTAACAACACAAATATATTTTATGTCTATAAAAACACTATTTGAATTAATTACCACGCTTAATCTTATACAGACTAGTCCATCTTTCTTTATGGACAAAACTATTCATCATTTTTAACAAATATTTCACAATCTCTGGTTGCTGAATATGGAACAGTGCAGGTCAACATTTATCAAAATTGTAACCGTATAATTTTCATACTGCAAGAGAAGTACATGCTCTCTTTGGTGGCTGATTATGCCGTGTTGCATTTTCGCTCTTAGTGCCTCGCAGACCGAAAGTACGACAAAGTATTAACATTGTTGTTATTTCGTGTTTTCGCCTGGCGCTTCGCAGAGCAAAATACGATATGGCACAAATCAGCCGCCAAAGTCACTAACTATACAACCGACAAAGAAGTGTAATAATTGCTCAAATGTACACACAACCGGAGGAAGGGGAAGGGGATTGACCCCAGCCTGTTATGACCTTTTTCAACTATCAGATAACTTTTAACATTTTAACACGAATGGGACAAACATCAACTTGATTTGATTCATTTTCCTCGTGGATTAAAAAAATGTCATTTACTGTCAAGTCTGAATATCTTGATGGTATATTGTTTTCGTTGTTTTTGTTTTTTGTTTTTTAAATTTCATGTGGAAATTGAATTTAAACAAGTTTTATGATTAAAACAGTAACAGTGATGAATGTTATTGAGGGCTGACAAGGGCAATAACATGTTTAAGCTGTCCAGTATGATACTTTCTCATAACAACACATGTTGGAGAAACATTTATCGTATAGAATTGTAAATATTTGGAGTTCAAATCAAGTTCATTTCATTTGAACTGAACGCATGTAATGCATTAGGCGATCTGTTTTGAAATTCCACTGAGGAACATTGACCAGATTTTGATAGGAAACATACGTTGGCATGGATCTATAGGTATTTTGCGATACATCGTAATTTTGTGAAAATCGTTCTCAATTATTCTCTTTGATTGCCATTTCATGTACGATTCTTTCTGGTATATTTACATTTCTTATAATGCAGATTGTACGAGTATATATGCTTGGTACAGTAAAGCTTTTACCTGTTCAGTATAGGCTAAAATTTATAAGTACGTATTTACAAAATTAAATTGATCAGGTGAATTTACTTATTAGTCGTCTAACCAGTCTAACTATAAGCAGTTTAGAGAAATGCTTTGTTTTTTTGGTTGAAAAATAACGTTGATCATTAAATAAATAGGTTCATGTTTAATAATACGCATTAACAAATAAAATTGGCCTGCCTTTATTGTAAAAGTCAAGCACGTAGAGATAAACTTTTCGTTGAATGAATGGAACAAGTAACGTTATTTCTTTTTTATGATAATAAAATTTAATGACTTGAAATGTTGAACTTAATTATCAGATATAAATTATCAGATTGGTTACAGTGTATTCAGTTTGTTTTTTCATGAGATATTTTAAAGACGTTCTTGCTAATATTTGACACTCTAAGATTAGACACGCCCTATTGAATTTCTTCCGCCGATCACGACCCAAATGAATCATAGAGAAGGAATGCATTATGCATTTTAGAAACCAATATTATACTGCAAAATTCGGGGATACTCTATTCTTGTACAAATTCTTCTGAATAATAGATTAGAGCGATCATTGAATTCAAAGTTTGATAAAGATTCAATCCAACAAACTGTGCAACTTATTTCTCGGGGAAATGAGCAAGTATTTTCTCCCAGTGCAATCTGTGAAATCAACCGTATGTTTATATAATAACATTGTAGAAATGTAAGAATGTTAGAGAATCGTTGTGAAAGTATGCAGCGATCATTGCTGTGAAGCTTGATTATTATGCACGCTATTTTAGTCAAACATAATGAATATGTCATTCAAATAAAATTACCAAGTTTTGGTCATGTAATATTAATGGAAGAGGTGACAAGTATTATCTACAAATTAATTTATGTTGACAACTGAACGATCGACGGAACGTTTTCAGAGTGACATAGTTATATTACGCACGAAGAGACAGTTTAGATTATTTAATCCATGAGAGATGAGCGAAAGTATTTAAAGGCACGATTCAAACTGTTTTATGTAATTATTAATTAATTATATAATGATTGTACATATGTACCTACAATATCTGAAACTATATTGTACTGTATAGAGGATTAATAAAACAACATTTAATACTTTCTCGTCAATGTGGTAGTCTAAGAAATTAGATGCTTTAATGTGATATAAGGTACAACAATAAACGTCAATATAATTATTTTATATGAAGTATAAGATAATTTGTATACTTGACAAGCAAAGACATTCCCGACTTTCAATGCCAGTGAAAAACTAGCAGGAACTTAGTGTTATATTATCTTCTTACTTATAAATGACACTTATCGTCTGTTATCGTTTGATTCCGCTTGCAGTATTTGTATGTGAGAAATTAATTATAGCAGACGTTAAGAGTTATCGATCAAGACGCTAAACATTTACTAAGAAAGAGATAGTCGCTGGATATCAATTTCCCGAAAAGTCTTGTTTACTTGCTTAGTAATAGCGTCTCTTAGGAAAACTAATAAAAATGCAAGAATGAACTATAAGAAGTTAGATATTATAGATCTATTTAAATGGTGTTGACTTGAACCGACGACTAAAACTATAAATTTTATGCTGCTTTCTTTTCTGAATTCAGCATAGCAATAAATCTAATAGAACCGTTACAGCATAATATATGTCCTAGTTTGAATAACTGTTCAGAATACACCGTAAGATTAAAACAGTGACATGTATATTTAAATGAGTGTACGCACAATAACTTTTATGTCTTCGATTCTAAATACAATTCAAAACAAATATCATATCAACTAAAGTACAGATACAAAATGAATAGGTCATGAAATGTCTTTAAGTATATAATCTAACATAAAAAACTTCAGTGAATTAATATTGCCAAGTGTTTCAGCCAATTTCAACATATCTTACCTTCCGTAATCTGCGGAAACATCAGCTAATATCTCACTTATATCCTCGTCATATCTTCATACAATCTTGATATCAACAACGAAATACCGGACTTGTATCCTTTTATAATATATAATTTAAAATAACATGACCAATGATCGGTTAATAGCATGAAATCGATCGAAACCAAAAAGTCTCTTTTAACGGAATTCCCAGAATGATGCGATCCATGTTCTAAAAATAGAAACACTGAAGATCTTAGACTGCTTGGAGAAGATAACAGTATAAATGCAAGGGAAGTAATCCGAGACTGACACGATAAACAAAGATACCACAGTGAAGGCCATTGCCGAAAAAAATCGTGAGTGTTTTCTTGTGCGCAACCGCGTGGTTAATAAACAAACATATTTCATTTGTGGTGTGTTATTGCTAGAAAAAATATCCGTCTTTTTGTCTGACTGTGCGCATTGTATGACGGACGCATATGTCCGATAAACTAGAGTAAGTTAAGAGAAATATTAATAATGGTAAAATATAGAGAAAAGAATAACCAAAAGAAAAAAAAGGAAAAAAACAGAACTGGCCCATTAGTCAATAAGTATTAAATTGTAATTGTTTATGATAAATTACGCGGTAGAAACTGTACAGCTGTGCATAATAAAGAAGGTACGTATACTTAATAGTTTTATCATTAATACAATATTGGTGTAACGAAACAAGATAGATAGGTTGTTGTTTACTAGACAGTTCATGACTGGAAGTTTAAAGGTAGTCAAACTATAAAACAAGTAAAATGGTTTCCTGCGGTGAACATTTTAATGATATAAAGATATTTCATTTAACTATTTTCAACATTATTTGGGGGTGGGGGGATAAATAAACGTTTGTATCAGGAATATAGTTGACAATTGAATAAACGATCAATATAGAAGAAGGTCTTTGGAAACTGGTGACCGTTGAAGACCGGAGAAGGTCGAACATAAAACAATTATTTCTTTTTAAGAAAATGATTAAATAGGCCTACCATTTTATGAATTATTCCGAGCAAAAAATAAATAAAGTAAACACACAAGTTTACGCAGAAAATATCTCTATTTATTATGGCAGATGCCACTACGAATATTTTAATTTTGTAGATATTCAGTATAAACAATTTATTGTTTGTAAAATTTGAGATAGATATTAAAGAAACATTGATAATTTTCAAACACATCATTCAAGTTTTTCCACATTAAACGGTAAAATAATTATAGAAAATTAGAAATATCACGCAATAGTTTTTTTGTTCTTAATTAGTAAAATCCGTAACGTACCGTCAAACGTTATTTAGCTAGGTTTTCGAAAAGGTCAATTAACCAATCATGTACGGTTTACAGACAACATGCTCCTCCATGTACCGAAAACAGGTCACGTGCTCCTCCATGCCTCAAAAGTTTAACGCGTACCAATACCCTGCGGTCTCCAGACCGCAGAGAATGATTTAATTCAATTCATATGACATATGTTGAGCAACGTTCGACGAATTTCAAAATAGATGAATGTCAAAAGTTTACAAATGAATGGCATATTGAAAAACAAATTGCTAAGCGTAAAACTGTTAAGGTTTTTGTCAAATGTACAATATTCGTCAACTATCATGAGCTGCATGTATTCATGAGAGTTTTCTCAAATTTAGTTATAATATATAAAAATTAATAATGTACACCAGAATCGTGGCGCAATGCCTTAAAATTGACGCCATATATCACGTTGAAAGGAATCTCTATTTATAGGAGATCTCACATGAGTGGTATCAGATGTAAAAATTATAGATTATTAGAGGGAAAAACCAACACATTTTTATACACCACAAATGTAATTTCCTGCGGGCACCAGTCCGTACGCTATTGAAATGCAATCAATTTTTCAAGCAAGGAGGGCCACGTGACCCGTTATTGATACATGGAGAGTCACGTGATCTGCAAGTCCTCCATTATAAAAACTATAAAAGAAAAGTGTATTTAAATGAATAAGTTATTTAATTTTTTTAAAAATGGGATAAAAAAACGTAAAAAAAGATAATAAAATGTCGTATATGTTGATGCCAATCGGAACACCTTGATTAGTTTGATTTTTTTCCCATAATACTTAGTATAAGTACCATTCCTAACATTTCCATGTGCAGGTCTCGGTTCATTGGTAAGACGCTCGCTTCAGAAGAGATTTGTTTCATACTATTTTATTGCATATATTGCATTTATAATCATACATCACTTTTACATAAACATGTCTGCACAAATTACAAAATGGTTGGGTAAAAATAAACATTATCGGTGGCCCTCCCCTTCCGTAGAGAGAGTGCAAGGTTCGAAACCCTCAAATTATGATTAAGAAATAGTTATGAAAATTGATAAAATTTGTGTTTCTTTCTCATTCGATAGTATGATTTGCTTAAAATGATGTTTTACTGTTTTTGTACAATGCCTTTTTATTTTCTACATGTATATCTTACAGCTCATATTATCATGAGTGTTGCGCTCGGTTATTCACATAAAATATTTTCTTAAAATTTGTTTAGTTAATTGTAGTCATCACCAAGAACCCAGATGTGTCACTTCTTTAGAAGTCGTAATTATAATTTATGGTTTTAAAAGTAAGTGCTATATACTCATCCCTATGTATAACAAGTTCTTCTGTATGCATATTATGAAGCATAAACAAATGTAATTTTAATCATTTTTGTAAAATCATGGGGTTCTAACTCGAAATTTCTGAATCTATGGCAACATAGGAGTAGAAAAAATAAAAGCACTTCCCATATAGATAGCTATAAAGATCACCATTAAAAGGCTAGCCATTTAAATCAAGAAAAAAAAACAAAAAAGAAAAAGAAGAAAAGAAAAACAAATAAAAGAGCAGAGTTGTCGTCCGTTCCATAGAATTACACACAATGCAAGCATAGTTGACGTTCGTTTTGAAACGTTCATACGCTGATTAAATGGCGTCAGGGGAATATAAATACGTATATGTTTGTGATCATCCGTGCTGTTCTAAAGAAATTAGAAACTTCGACGGGAGCGATAGCGGTAGCGGTAGTGGTGGTGGTGGTGGTAGTATTGTTAGTGAACATGTTAATCAGGTAAGAAATGTCTTTGGAGGAAGATTTAGCAGTGCAGATATACTCTTTATCACAATGTAAGAATTATCCATAGACTTAAAGCTGCATGCCTCCAGATAAGACACAATATTTCAATAAAATAAAACCCGTGAAAAATTTACTAATGTTGAAGGAAAGGCAAACAGATTAAAGATTTAAATAATAATTCATGTTAAATGCGAATAATGGTCGATTATTATGTATTTATCAATATATTTTACTGCGTTACTAACGCAGGAAAGGCTTTTTTTATATTTTGACCTCATTTTGGTAATTTATACGGGTTGTGTGTGCTATTTGTAATGTGTAAATTGCTTCTTATTTATTACTTCACAATATTTTACTTTTAAAAACATTTAAAAAAATCCATGAAAATTTGTAGGAATCTGTAGGCATGCTGCTTTAAAGGCAAATTTTGCTTCAGTCCTTCTTTAGTAAGCGCACACATGAGTTTTACAACGTTTAAATAATCGTTTAAGAGCATGATTGGTGTTTCATACCTGAAGAAAATAGCATGTACTATGAAATAATTTGTCATATTTGTACAAAAAAGTCCTAAACAAAGTAATATTTGACTTTCATATAGTATACACTGTACTAAATCTGTACTAACTGCCATAATGCAACTGAAGAAAAGAATTGTTCAGATAAATGGCTAATAAGTTTGTTTTTTTAAACCTTAACAGGACACAATAAATAAAAAGATTCTGAGATATGAACATAAAAGCATCTGGGGGCATAATATGCCTTAGATTGTAATCATAGTTCCTATTATCAACATATTTTATTTTTTATCTACCATCAATATAGATAGTGATCTAGTGACCTATTCTTTTCTTATATGCGACATGTTCACCAGACCTGCAAATATTAATATTATCGTATTCATCATTCGCATATTATTGGGAGTCAGAAAGCATGAAACAATTTATTCTTAAATGTATCAACTATTGGTATATCCTATACAGGCGGATGCATAATTTTTGTGAAAGGAAAATGCTGGTTTAAGCAACTTTGTAAGTTAAGTATCTTGCAATTTTTAATTCTTTCATAATGTGTTTAATATGGACGCAGTCTACGCAGTCCAGCCTAGATAGCTGCATAAAGTAAAATGAACTTTAGAAATGCATGATGGAAAAAATAGCCGTAACTATACTAAAACCAGATATATATTCTTTGTAATAGTTATTTTAGTATTATAGTTTACAACAGTAGTCATGTAAAATACCTAAAATATTTACAACATCTGTTGATTATTAATCCGTATTGAACAACCTCAAGCTCATCTTAAAACCCAAGGCCTTCCCGCGACTATATTTGTACAAAATAGTGTACATTTGAGGCATATAAAGTATTAATACCTGCATTCAATAACAATTATAATGTATCCGTGGTGCGTGACTATAAATCTTTGATGCATAGATAAAGGGTTTAAACGTTTGAAAGCTTATACTTTCTCTTCATAATTTTACAGAGATAACTGGAATTTGGAAAATTTATTCAGAGGTAAGATGTTTTGAGATGCCTATACTTCAATACTTCAAGTTTATTATTCAGTTTCTAAAAATCATCTATTATATTTAAGTACACCTATACGTTTTTTTCTCATTTATGCTGGAACGGTTAAGAAAACTAAAATTAAGAAAATAAAGTACATATTCTAGGACAGGTACATAGGTAGGTCTATTAATTACATATGATTATAAGTTAATTGAATATGTATGAAATTATTCAATACATGCATTGATAAAGGGTTTAAACGTTTGAAAGCTTATACATTCTCTTCATAATTTTACAGAGATAACTGGAATTTGGAAAATTCATTCAGAGGTAAGATGTTTTGAGATGCCAATACTTCAATACTTCAAGTTTATTATTCAGTTTCTAAAAATTATCTATATTTAAGTACACCTATACATTTTTTTTCCATTTATGCTCGAACAGTTAAGAAAAGTAAAATTAAGAACATAAAGAACATATTCTAGGACAGCTAGGTGCATACATAGGTAGATCTATTTATTGCATATGATTATTAGTTAATTATACATGTTTATGAAAAGGGAAGAAACAGAAACAAATAAAAAACAACAAACAAAACAAAACACTTTAATAAAAAAACAACCACTACCAACAACAAAAACAAACAACAACAACAACGACAAAAAAGCAACAACCATAAACAGCACATACAGCAATTTAAACGTAATATTTACAAGTGATTATAAACATATCGGTATCTTAAATCAAAATACAGGTATATTTGTAATAAAAGGTGCACACATTTTGGTATGCATTCATACATTGTATTTTTATGATGCAAAAATGCAACTGAAATAACTCATGCTAGCTGATAAGTGGCATGGTCCTATATATAATATAAATGCTTTACAATGATATCATTCGTTACAAGGTGGACTAAGTGCCATGATTTGTTAAAATCAAAATAATATACTCGTATATCTTATTCCACCCTCCCCACCCGCTGACACGAAAAACGATCACGTGTATCCAACGTGATTAAGAAAACACATCAGTTCATAATCTTTAGCAAATTTTTTTAAAGAATTAACAATGGCTAAAATTGTATAAACTAGAATTAATTAAGAATGAAAGAGTATTAATATAATAATTATCATTTAATGCCTTTAGATGAATCAAAATATTTCAGTAAAATCAAACTTGAAAAAATGTACTAAGATTTTTTGAAAAGTAAAAAGATTCAAGATTCAAATAATATTTTACATGTTATGTGCGATTAATGGCTGATTTTTCAGTATTTACAACTATATTTCCACTGCATTACTAACGCAGTAAAGGCTATTCATGCATATTTTGACCACTTTATGGTAATTTACGTGGGTTGCAAGTGCCATTGATAATGTGTAAATTGCTTCCTTTTGGTTTCTTCACAATATTTTACATTCAAATACATTTTTAAAATGCAGGGGTGCTGCTTTACGTGTGTTGGTAAGGGGGATAACTCTTATATCATCATTTTTAAGTTGTATGCTCATTATACCGCTCTTGTCTTATTTCTTGTATGACTCAGCATTTTTACTATTTTACGCTAACATTACAATACTCAAAGCTATATAATAACGTATTCATACCATTACAAACTCAACACCGAACGCTGGACTGATAGTTCGAACCGTTTTGCTGAGCAGTGCAATTGTTCAATAAGTATTTTACAAGGTTGCCATGCAGTCGTTGGCACTATTTTGATTTCCATATGCAGCAGACGATGTAAAATACCTGGGTTCTATCACGGATTAAGGTCCGTACGTGGTTCTATGCTTTTCGTGGTTTTTATTCAAACATGGTAGAGCTGCCTGATCAAATTCTGAACTCATAACGAAATAAAACGAAATAGTGTTATACATGATAAGAATTTATGTTTATTGCATACACAATGACAGTAATAACCTAGTGTACACACATTTAAAACAAAAAAAATCCTCGTTTATACATATCATTGTTAATGTTAAATGCTTGTCAACGTATAAACTACAATCATTTATGGTAAAGTTCAGACTGGTGTGTCTATTTGTTCAAGTTTTAGACTCTCAGCCAAGAAAAAAAAAAAAATAATAATAATAAAAACAACATCATTAATTTTGCTTGAATTTCGATTATTTTTATAGTTATTTTTTAGCGTAATATTTTTAAATTTCAAGAATGGACCAGTTTCGAGATTCTTCAGAGGGTATTTATGTGAAAAGGAGGCAGTCTCGAGATCGTCGATGTGTTATAATTTGTGTGGTATCTGTTGGAATAGCCGCATTTGTAATAGGAATTTTGATTGGTCGGTTTGCTACATGCCCGGATGAAGAAACACCGGAAGAGAGATCGGGAGTTTTCCTCGAAGGGGTTACAGAAAAACTAATGAAAGATGCAGATCCAGAAGTCAGTGACATTCTCATTAAGGGCATGCGTGCTGAAAATATACGTGAAAATCTAAGGTAAAATACGTTAAATAATATTAGTTCGTAAAAGTGCAGAGGTACGAATTAATAACAACATCTTGTCTTTAAGCGAAATTTTCAGAGATCGAGATTTTTTCTCTCAAAAATAATACGTCACGTTAATGGAAGATATTTCTGTTAAAAGAAAAGAAAAATAACATGTGTTATATTTTTTTGATATTTTAGAATGTTAACAGAAAAACCTCACTTGGGAGGAACCGAAGAAAATCACGAACTTGGAAGAAAATTGAAGAAATTTTGGGAAGATAACGGTTTCGACCACGTGACTATGGCACCGTATGAAGTCCTATTGTCGTATCCGAACATGTCAAACCTTAACTTTGTCGAACTATTGGACGGAGAAAAAACAGTTTATAAATCAAACTTGACCGAACCAATTCTCACACCGGAAGAAGATAAACCGGATGTAGTTCCGCCATTTAATGCGTATTCTCCTGCAGGAGATGTAAAAGTATGTCAATTTTATATCTTCCATTGTAATACCAAAACTGTAATGCACCAGTTAATTGAAACGATAGCCCGTCCAAGCCCGAGGAAAAGCAAGGACTTTTCAATTTTTTAAAAGTCCCCTCCTGTAGTAACTGTCAGAAGGTAAAATCCCCGTTTAAAAGTCAACGCAAAACAAAGATAAATCGAAATGGTTGCTCTGTTCCCCAGCAATGCCTCGCACTTGACATACCTGTACTGGGGACAAGGTAACTGTGTAATTGGTGCATAAGACATAGACATTTTTATATACTTCAAAAATATTCCCCAAAAAACATTTACAGGTATAACATTACAATTAAAATAACGAAATACAAGTCACATATAGTTCATCTCTGCCTCAAATACTTCATTGCCTTATATACAAAATGCAGTTCATCTCAGATTTTATTATCTGTAGATGTATGTCACCAGTACAGTCTAGTTGGGTCATAAGCACATATTGACTATTGCGGTGACAACATTCTTAATTTACTTTCGATGAAAGTTTTAACTAATATCAATGAAGAAATGATTTCTTGGTTATCTTTAATATTGATACTGTCATTCCTGCTTTGGCTAAGATAAAGCGCGCGCGTCTGATAGTTAATTTCATTAAGACCTTATCAAAGTACTTGTAGAAAATGTATGCAAACTGCTTATCCGCCATGGTCTACGAGTGTCCGGATTATTCAGAATAATAACTACATTCATTGTATATAAAGTTGTAAATCAGAAACATTTATTTCGGACTTTTATTCAGGGTGATGTGGTGTATGTTAACTATGGACGGGTAGAAGACTTTCAGTTCTTGGAGAGAAACATGTCCATCAACGTCACTGGAAAAATTGTGCTGGCGAGATATGGGAAGATATTCCGCGGAAACAAGGTAAATAAAATTATAAACAAGTTTTATCTTTTAGGTAAAGGTAGGTTATTTAACATAGAAACATTTAACAGAAAATTATATTGTTAACATGCTCTTTCATATCAAGTATGACAAAATTCTTTTGAAACAGAAGACTTTGGAGGAAACACTTTCATCGAAGCATCTTTATTTTGCTTAGATTTTAGACAGATGGTCATGTATTTGATTAAACCTTGTGCGTATGTTTCACACACAACTCGGCCAACTTTGAAAAATTGATATTGATGAGGGTTTTTTTTGCAGGTCAGACATGCAGAGGAGCATGGTGCTATTGGAATTATTCTGTATTCAGACCCCGACGATATTACAGCAGGCGATATTGACAAAGTATATCCGGATGACTGGTGGCTTCCGCCGTCTGGTGCCCAGCGCGGTAGTATCTATATTGGTGTTGGTGACCCGCTCACACCTGGATATCCGGCCATTGGTAATTTGTAAAAGAAACAATGTATAAGTAAAAGATAAACAAACACTAAACATAAAATAAAATGAAATAAATGGTTTCAGCTTATTACTATTTGCAAAGGCTTTCTTAATATAAGCGTAAATGTCATTTTTTCGTAAAGCTAAGTATAATAAGAACATTCCCGATGTAGTTTTAATATAACTTGTATGACTTTGAAGGGTTTACAATACAACAAAAAACATAAATCATAATTTACAGACATTTATTTTTCAAGTTTCAGACGAGCGTGAAGCATCTTTTTTGTCATGATTTTAAGTAACAGCCATTAGATAATAACAAAAATCAGAATGCATATGCTTTAAGTAGTCTTTAGGTATTATCTGTGAATTTCAGCTACGGCATACAGACGAAAAGATCCGGAGGAATGGATGCCAGGCATCCCATGTCATCCTGTAGGATACGGTATAGCAGTTCAAATTATGAGGTACAATAGTTAAACTGAAAAGAAAAATCAAATATTCAAAAATAGTTGAAACAAGCTTGTCTGGTTTGCACTTCAGTGATATTTTGATGTTTTGTTCCCTTTATTTGTTAAGCAAACCGACATGATCAACATCAACATGGCTACATGTAAATATACAAGTCATGTAGATAAGTAACGTGGCATTACCATCTTATTGTTCAGTGCAATCATTCTGTATAATTAGGCTTTAATCTAATCTGTAAGTACATTTGAGCCGCGTCACGACAAAACCAACATAATAAGTTTGCGACCAGCATGGATCCAGACCAGCCTGCGCATCCGCGCAGTCTGATCAGGATCCATGTTGTTCGCTTACAGACCCTATAACAAGTAAAGAAACTAATAGCGAACAGCATGGATCCTGATCAGACTGCGCGGATGCGCAGGCTGGTCTGGATCCATGCTGGTCGCAAACCCATTATGTTGGTTTTGTCGTGACACGGCTCATTTATAGTCAAACGTAATGTTGTTTCAAATTGAACATCACAATGTTGATAATAAAAAAATGAGATACATGTAACAATTATTTTCTAAATGTAATAATCATTTCAGTGAGTTAGGCGGCAAAGTGGTCAAAGAACAATGGAAAGGAAAGATGAATACAACGTATAGATATGGAGGAACATTTAAAACGCCCAATTGGTGAGTATCATTTCAGATAAATTTATAAACTTTGTTAAAACTTATATTTTTGAACGTTTTGTGTGCATACTAGTTTGTATATGTGCAGAACATACATTTAGACCAAATTCCGGATAAAACTTGTTTTTTATGAAACTGAATATAACTCGCAATCACTTTTTCCAAATATGTCAATATGAATATTATCAAATATAACTTAAATCACTTACAGAGACAAGTTAAGTATCATTTAGATAATTAGTTTACTCACATGCACTCATTACAAGTTAAATGTAAAGTTAAATGTAGTTGATCTTTAGTGTACGCTGGGTTCAAGATTTCAATATTGTTGTTAATTAAGTTGTACAATTCCTTGGTAAAAATAAAATTACAAATTAATTAAAAAATATTAACCGTTGTTACAATAACATTATACATATGTTCAAGATGTCTTTGCTAAAATTTATAAATAACAACATGTGGTTGCAGGAAAGCTCGAATATTTGTATCCACAAAAGACAAGATGGTCACAACTTATAATACAATTGGTGTTATACGAGGCAGTATAGAGCCAGGTAATGTCCAACCAAATTGTTGAAAAATTATCCTAATAAATTAGAAGGTAACAAGCTTATATCCTACGTATTTTGAGATTATATTACGGAAAGTAAGTTCCGCGACGTCAAAGGCGTAAGTTTATATTTTGTTTATATTTATTAATTTAAGTTCGTTTGTGTTGGAAGCTATAAGCTTATTGAAACACCCTCTAATCCGCTCATGTAAGAGAGTAAAGTTCCTTGCTCACGGAAACAACGGGGGTTTGAATCCACGCGGCCAGCAATACCGACGCGTTAACAACTCGGTCACGCCGCCTTTGAATGATTTCTTAGCATTTTAATACTTTCTTAGATTTATCTTAAAGTAGTTACCAGTTACTTATGCAAACTATTTTCATCCATGTTACTTTTTCAGATCGTTATGTATTGGTTGGTAACCATAGAGATGCATGGGTATTTGGTGCCCTTGACCCTTCCAGCGGTACAGCTGTAATGATGGAGATGTCAAGGGTTATGGGTCAACTCGTTAAATCAGGTAAAGTATAAATCGAACAGGAATTAAACAGATAAACAGATGTCTTATCACAAAACATTCTCGCCTTGCTCTTTTTTGACACAAGTTTTGATACAAAGTAGGATAAAGGAAAACGTTTGGTCACCAGTATAGATCCAAGTCCGTGCAGTATGACCGCGCTCTATGTTTTATTGACTACTATACTAGAGTATTTAACTGTCTAATATTAAAATCTCCTAGTTTCACGATTAGTCCATTTCACCAATTTAATTCTTTAGGAGTTAATTGTTTTCCACACTTTATCTAATAGGGTATATGAGTCATAGAGTGAAGTCGCATATTTTCCGCCAAACATTAATTTTGGCGATTCTTGTTTAATGTCATTTGTCGTGCCTCTACGTGTCACATTGAAGGTTCCATGATGACCACCGTAAGAACACATCTCCAGATTTTTTTTAATACAAAATTTAGCTATTTTCACGTCTTAATGTTGAATGCTGCTTAAGTCGGTGCTGGGGTGACGGTGATGGGGGCGTGGACGGAAGCTTGCATTTTCCACTACAGGCCCTATCGAACACTTTTTACAATTTTACCGTTTTGAACGTTCTTTAAGGGGAGTAAAATTTACCGCTTGCTGGGCAGCTGGTCAGTTTATAGCAGAAATAGCTTATGAAGATATTTTAATCTTGCAACATAAGCATATAACTTTCTTCAAGAAAACATCCGTACAAAAAGTTGATAAAATAAAAATAAGATAAATAGATAACAAAAAAATGACAAATTTAAATGACAAATCATTGATATCACGCCACATTGTTGAAACATAACATGGATTTTTGGACAATATTCAGGAAAATGGCGACCTCGGCGAAGTATACTATTTTGTAGTTGGGGAGCAGAAGAATACGGTCTGGTCGGCTCTATTGAATGGGTTGAGGTAAGTAATACTAGTACTTCTAAGTTTGTAATGAATTACCTTCACAGTTATCCTTTTTTGATAGGGTTTTTCACAAATTGACTGGACTATTTATGGTTGAGGCATAATAATTGAAGGTACCGTTTATCGTAAGTGGCGGCTAAATGGGTTAAAATTACTGGTGTCTTTGCATTTCTTAGCTCTAACATTGCTTGTAACACCCGAGGTAAGACAAAATCATCTGTTCTGTTTCGGCGCCGTATATGACGTATACTGTTAGTGTGCCGTAAAACCAAACAAACCGATAAGTTTTCATACAAGGTGTACACTATGACATTTGACATTTGAATACTATAAAGTATTTTCTTGTTTACTGCCCGAGGTGACAGTTCTCGCAGATGCCTTTTGATGGACTAGTCATTTAAGATTACAAATGTGCAATTTTTACTAATCTATTTTGCCATTAAAGTTAATTGACAACATTATAGAGTCTTGTCAAAATTATGTAGCCAGAATGCCAACCGTTCTAACTATATACCAGTTACATGTATATTTCTTTCAGCCTCACAACAGAGTTTTGTTTGGCAGCTGAGGTGTACCCAATTATATGAAGGTTGACCGTTAGATAAAAAGTTTGCTTCTTCTTTATATTTCAGCATTATACAAAAACTCTTGGTGCCAGAGCCATTGCTTACTTAAATGTTGATATAGCAGTTGAAGGTACTATAATTATCAGTGTTCACAACAGTATTTATATCTTATTTACTGTTATATTTGTACTTGTATGTTATTTGAATGTTTCCTTATTTTATAAATTTCATCTTCATCATCAAATTGTTTCCAATTGAATCTTTTCCTTTTCTCATACCTGATTAAGTTGTTTTGGTTTATTTCCTGTTTAAACGTAAGAAAACTAGTTGCAATAAGTTTTACGGATGTTAAGTATTCATTTGTCACCTGATTCCTTTCAGGTAATTTCTCACTACGTGCACTTGGCACTCCACTTATATTTAAGTCCCTCTATGAAGCAACAAAGAAAGTACCAAACCCTAACCCTACAGAGGTGAACTTAGGTCGGACAACAATTTACGATACATGGATGTCTACCTTTCCTTGGACAAAATACAACAGACCAATGTATGCACAGTTTCCTTTTTATTTTATTTTATTCTTTGATATTATTCACTCATTCTATAAATCTGGTTCGTCTTTTATAGATATGATGTTTTTCTTTGTTACTCTATTTTAAGCAAATATGATAGTATTATACCAACAAATTTGAAAATGTGAAAAAATTTGGTAATGTGAAAATAACTGGACAGAGATATGAATAATAAAGGAAAGGGAAATGACTGTTGTTGCTAGTTAAGTAAGGATGAATGTGTGAACTTATTGGTAAGGTAGAGGAAATGAATGCATTATTGGTAATGTAGGGGAAATGGATGAAATTATTGGTAAGGTATGCGAGATGGATGGAGTTATTGGTAAGGAAGAAGAAATGAAAGAAGTTATTAGTAAGGGAGAGGAAGTAAATGAAGTTGTTGGTAAGGTATGAGAAATGGATGAAGTTATTGGTAAGGTAGGAGAAATGGATGAAGTTATTGGTAAGGTAGGAGAAATGGATGGAGTTATTGGTAAAAAAAGCAAATGAATGTAAAGGTAACGATAACAAAGCCCAGAAAACTAGTGACATTAACTCTATGTCTGTACATTATTACACTACTATAATAAGAGCATATATTTGTGTAAACAAGATCTTTCTTTTTTATGTTGTCAGGATAACTTTGCCGGGATCTGGAAGTGATTATGCACCATTTAGAGATCGCATTGGTATACCGAATGTTGACATAAGATTCACATGGGACAAGGTTAGTTATTTGAAATATATCATAGTTGTACATAAAATGACGAAGTTTATGAAGGCGTCTCTGTCAGGGTGTTGACTAAAAGAAAACACCCCGCGCATCAAAAAAATGCATGTGTGTTGGCATAAACATTTTAAATGTTTATACAATTTACATTTATGTGATTCAGTATTATAATTAGTGAATTGAACTGAAATCTAAAAACATTTTGTTACTCTCCCCAACGATCAATTAAGGTCAGCTGTTAACTTTGCTCATCATTAATTTACAAGTGTTATCAATCGGAGATATTTTCTAATTTGGTATATTTTCATGATTCCAAAGATTATTATATTTACAGAGAAACCTGAAGTTATCGGCATATCCAATGTACCATTCCGTATATGAAACGTTTTACCTAGTGGACAAAATTATGGACATAGGATTCAAGGTATATTTCATTTTGTGTTTAGAAATTACGATAACAAACCAGTTAATACATGATTTCTTTTTACTTTTATTTATAAATTGTTTGTAAATGTCTTTATGTACATTATGACCGGTAGATACAAACAGTTCATATGATAAACGAATTAGAACACATTATAAATGTACTTGATCAACCAATAAGCAAAAACACATCAAATGAATTAATTATTTAGTTAAAAAGCACATTATGCTTCCGAAACGAAAAACTTAATATTTGCTTCTTATATATAGAAGACAAACATAAGTTTTATAGCATTAAGAAAATTGTTATAGAGTATGTTAGATGGTAATCACCTGTAGAAAATAGCGCTGAAAATGAAATAATTTGTCGTACAACTACCAAATGTAAAAATGTTAACAGTAGTATTTTGACAAAAATGTTTACAGTAGTATTTTGACAAAAATGTTAACAGTAGTATTTTGACAAAAATGTTAACAGTAGTATTTTGACAAAAATGTTAACAGTAGTATTTTGACTTCCATTTATAATCACTACAACTGTACTAATAACAAAAAAGCATCAGAAGACAAAGATGGTTCAGGTACTGTAATTGGACAATGAATGAAATTTTAGATACTATAATTTAATATAAAACTGAAACTAAAAATAATTATGTTTATTAGAGATATAATGATAAAAACATTTCTGATGCGTTAGGGACCTTTATACATTTATTACATGTACTAACTTTAATTGTATAACCTTTGAAACATCTTCCAGCACCATAAAGCACTTGGTCAGATCTGGGTGGAGATGGCGAGAGACCTCGCAGATAGTCTGATACTACCTTTTAACGTTTCTGATTATTCAGACGCTTTACGTGATCTTAGTGATAACTTACTGGATCACTTTGGGCCATTGATGACGGAGAATAATGTGAACACAAGTAATAATATGTTAAGATGATTATATTTTAATCAATAAAACTAAAATTAGATTTTTAAGTAATTAAGTACATGTCATTGAATTAATGAAATATGTTTGTAACTTTTGCCTTTAATATTGTACTGTTTATGTTTATTTTTTTAATAACTTATGCTGCTTAACAGAGTGTCGTTGCCAGTTAAATTTTAGTTAAATTTTGACAAGTAGGAGGTATCTTAAAAGTTAAAGAGAAATTCGACAAAAGTTAAAGAAATTTTGACGTAATGATTTTTATGAAAAAGACTTAAGATTTCCTTATAAATTAAGGCAAAATTGTATAATTTTAACGAAAAACTTTGAGTTAAGGTGAAATTTTCACTTAAGATTCTTTATGAATACGGCCCAATTCTTATTTTCAAGTAATATTGCTTACAAGGAAGCATTAGATAATAAGCAGAATAATAAAACAAGTGCAGAGCATTGTCTTACAATACCTTTGTTAAATGGAGGCTTGTTTCTTTCTTATAGATGACCTCAAACAGGCTGTTTTTAACTTCACTGAAGCTGTTCATGAATTTGAGAAAATTGTAAAAGATTCTAACCTGAATGAGTACGTAATCATTTTATACTTATCTCTTTAAACAATAGCTGAATGGTTTTGTTTTCCAAATGAAAGGAACATTTTTTTAAGAATAATAAGAGCATACTCGCGCCATGAAAAGAGTATTTTGTCGGGTTTCGAGTCACACTAACAACAAAGGGTTACTTGGCGACATCAAGCTTTAGTGGTGAAGGAGGTCGTGCCTATCTTTGTATCTATTTTCTGAAATGAAATACCTTTCTACTGTAAGTTCTTGCATGAACCTTGGGGGATTAGAATCCACATCGGGTACGGGAAAACTGACTATAAGTATCGTAATCACTTGTCTACGGAGGCCAGTGAAAGGGGTTACTAATTCAATTTAATCGTAATAATTAACTTTCAGTTGGATCATTTTCTCAATTTATTACCAGTTTGAAAGCATGACATGAAGTCAGTGTCACATTGTGACATAAATGTACAAGTTATTGCGAGTTAAATCAGGTAAAACTAGTGTCGTTTTCGCGCCCACGCATGTCGTATCGTGTGCTCTCACATCCCCATATCTCACATCCTCATATTTTCAAAGTTCTATTGAGATTTTCAACCATTCTACAATCCCTTGAGCGAGCATCTTATGCTGAAATATGAAGTTCATATAAGCACAAGTTGCTCATTGTCGAGTCAAATTTTATTTGTCAAAGCTACGCATTATGTACACATGGATACAATCAATGTTCTATACTTGTACGACGAGCCGCTAGTTTACATATTTTCATGCAATGAAGAGGCTCCACCAATTCGAGTTTGAAAATACAATTTTGTTTTGGATAGATTTTAGTTTACCCCCTCAACATGTTTGGACCGAAAGTGATTAGCACTTGCCGCCAGAAAATAGTCCGGCTCTAAACTAGTTCTATAATGCAGGGAAAACCCATTACACAATTAAGCATGTTAAGAGTTAATACCTGATCGTTGGTGGTGACTTGAAAATTAAACTTGTTGCATGTGACATGTGTTATCATAAAACTAGACTTTGGACAAAAGGTATAATATTAATAAATGTTCATAAATGTTATGCAACACTATTTTCAGTCCATTTGTGGTGCGGCGAATCAATGATCAGTTAATGGACATAGATAGAGCTTTTATTGACCCGTTTGGACTTCCTGGGCGGAAGTATAAAAGGTATTGTTGATATTTTAACAAACATGGACAACAATAAGCCATTTCACAACAACAAAAAAGATCCGATGTATATATGTTATTTATAGTGTTTTAAATTTCACGAACAATTGCCACGAAATAGCATTTCTCTATCACTGCTACTAGTACGTATCCCAAAATAAAATAAGCAGGAGTTGTGACAACAAAGAATAGCTGACTTTACTTTAAATTGTCCGATTGCTTTGAGATCTATATGAAAAACATCATATTTATTCGTACCTTTATACTACATGCTTAAGTCGTCCGTAAACGATAAATCCACGTTGCCGAATTGCTATTTTTACATAGACTATATGCTTAGTATTTCACTGATATTTCTTTCCAATCATTTGCATCGTACTTTCTAGCTACATGTGTTACATAGCAAGTTTCACAAACGTTTAAAATTGTAATTTCTATAGCGTGTATTTTATGTTTAATTTTCATCCTTCAGAAATATTATATTTACTGAAAGCAGTATCGACAGTTATGCAGGAAGTAGTTTCCCGGGACTCTCAGATGCCTTGACGCTCATAGAGCAGAAAAAAGATGTAGAGAAGCAGTGGGAAATAGCAAAGAAACATTACTCTGTGGTTTTATATTCTATACAAGGCGCTGCAACAATTTTAAAAGATGTTTCCAATTTCATGTACGATTATTAAACACGAATTGTAATGTTTTATACTTGGAGGCAACATTTTAACTATAAACTGAACAAGAAGACATATATTTTATACAGAAAGGTTGCCTTCATAGTTTAATGATAAGACGACATGTTATAAGTATTTGACTTAACCCTTATCCTGCTGAAACGGACAGTTATTAGCTTTTGTCGACAGTGGAGAGCCAGGCTAGTCTGTACTTCCGGACAATCTGACCAGGTTCTATCCTGTTAGTAGCCTTGATAATGAAATCTGTTTAACTTTGAATGTACTGTTTCAAAATTTAAAGCCAGGAAAATCTGTAACACAAATGCAGCATGTTAAGGGTAAAGATATGAACAGATTTAAGAAATTGACGTTTAGTTATTTTTGTATACTACTTCTGTCTAAATGATATTAATATCATTATATTTGTAACCGATGTAATAATGATGCACAATGCATATGTCATATGGATGTATTTAATAACAAAATGTTAAAGAATATTTTATCAAATGTATAGATGAGAATAAATTTATATGCAATACATATAGTCTTTTTCAATTCTAGCCATGGTTGATAAGAAAGAATGTAAAAAAACGAAAATAGATTAAATTATGTAATTAAAAAAAACGATGCATATTCATATTTTTAACAATAGGTGCAATGTGTGCACATTTGATGTAGATAAACAGGGAATCTGTGTAACATTTGTATACATGCTCTATATTATAACGTATAACTTCATTGCCCTGTTAAACTATTGATTAAATAAGAGTTCATTTATGAATGCTCCATTTTGTGCAAATTATTCATTTTATACAAAATGTATTTTAGTTCGATTATGTTGGAAGTTATAAGCTTATTGAAACACTCTCGAATCAGTTCCTGTAACCAACCAGTACTAAGCAGTGAATGTAAAGTTCCTTGCTCAAGGAAACAACGGCTTTACCTTGATAGGGTTTAAACCCACGCAGTCAGCAATACTTAGATTACTAGGACGACGCGTTAACCACTCTCTCGGTCTAAAGTTATTAAACCACTAAATATACTGTCGAAAAATTGAATATACTCTTTAACCATATTTAAAGGAAATGAAGAGATTTGGTATTAATTTTGTTTCTCTCATGATAACAGAACATATTGTATCTTGCATTCACAAATAACACATTCACATCTAAAAAAAGTTTTTGAAATACATTGTCTGTTTTTAAAATGAAAAAAAAATTGCATTTACTTCAAAAACTGTGTGTTCTATATCTTTTGAAACCATTTCCGACTTAGTCTTGAAGAAATAGACCACCGCATTGCTTAATTCAAGTGAATTTAAACCATTACTTCCACATAAAATCCCTGAATGATTTTTTTGTAATGAACCCAATGCCTAGAAAAGCTAACAAAATCTAATGCTTTTAGTCTAAAAAGTGCCGTCGCGTCGATTTCAAGAATGGTATTTGTTATTGTCAGTTTTCTTCAATGATTTTCCAAGGATTGCATGCAGAAAAGTTTCTTATTCGTATTAATTTGTGGCGGCATGGCTGATTGGTTAAGGTAGAACACGACACTTTGCGAACTTTCGAGTAGCGTCTTGAAAAAAAGCATGCAAAAAATTGGCCATATTTCTGATTTCCGTTGTATTTTATTCCAATAGTTTCAGCCAGTTTTTGTACAAACGACATCAAAGTTGACCATGAAAGTCCGTTTTTGAACATAACGTCGTTGCGTATCCTTGGCAACTGTTACTGGTATCACAACGCCATAGGCGGACAAAATACCTTAAATTCTACAGCATCCGACGGAAATTTATTTTTCCTTTCAGCTGATATAAAATTTATCGTTTTACGCCGGAAAATGTTTGAAAAATGGAAAGAAAATTTCAATTTTGTGTAAAAATTTGACGTTCAGTTTAGCCGCAATTTTCTGCTTTAAAGCGGCTTATTAAAAAATTCCTGAAATAAATTTTTGATTTTTCTCTTTTAACATCCATTAAAATATATACTCAGTCTTAATGACTAAAAAATAGGGGGACACCCTATTTTTTTGGTAATCAAGTAATCTATGGATCGATATCCATGCGGGTTCAAAACCCCGTCAGGGGCAAGCCGTTGTTTAATTTGAGCTTATTGTTCAGAACTAGTTGGTTCCAGGAACGGACCGGATTCGAAAGTGTGTCTATAAGCTTATAGTTTCCTACACAATCGAACTAGAATAAATTCTGTATAAACCAAATGTTTCTCCTAAATGATCCATATTAGAAAATGCTATATCTGCATGATGCTACTCAAATTAGATGTATCACTTCAAGAATTGGTAAATTCCCCGATACCGCCGAAATTATACTTTGAAACGTAAGTAAGATGGTTCCGGATAAATCTAGCGCCTTAAAATACCGGTATGGCATTGATTCAGATGCAGATTGCGGAATTAAACAAAGTCAGTGCGAGTCTGCAACATTTTCACATTTGTATCACCGAACTGTCTCTATCGGAGAACACCAAGCAGTTTGTTGTTCTCTGATCACAGTTTAAATTCGCAAGGTAATATATCAACCATGAAAGAAATAACGCAATTGCCATACAAAAATCATTGAAATACTCAAGTGTTGACATTAAATATGTCCACCATAATCATATTTCGCAGGAGAAGCACTTCAACACAAAGCGGTGAGAAACTCATAAACAAACTCTCGAATCCGTGTTCCTGGAATCAACTAGTACAAGGGAACATTGGCTAGTCCCTAATGCTCTTTGGACCCACGTGTTCACCACTCAGCCACGCTGCCATCAATTTTATCATTGTTGAAGGCTCGGTTTGATTGAGCTTGTTCATAGACGTGAGTACGTGTTCGATCTCGCACAGCTATCATCGGCTGAAACAGAACATATAATTAGCATATAACATATAAATATGGTGTGTTATTTAGATTTAGAATCACCTGAAGATGTACTTTTACCGGTGGTGTTCATGAAAGCTACGCTTAGACAAAATGAATGAAAACTACTTTTATGTATGGCTCCAAAGTACAGGAATGCATGTCCCTTTAATCAGCAAGAAATTAAACTTACCTTGTTGGCCATGGCAAGTGAAAGAGAAAGAAAGAAAATCTTGATAAAGTGCGATCCCTCGGAAGAATTGATAATAATAAAATTACATGAAAATTGCAGACTTGGTTTAATTGAGTCTGTACATGAGTGATATTTACAAAGTGCAACATCCCTCAAGTCCGACTTGAGTGGTATTCAATTTCGACACATAAATTGTTAGAATCAATGATTCCGAAGTACCAGAAAGTTATAACAACACTGACACTACTTTGGTCGTTACATTAGCGCCCACTAAAAAGCATTACAATTACAAACACTAGCTGTAGACATAGTGAAAATAACTGTAACAGTCCACCAAAATTATAAACATTATACAGTATATTGAAATTTTTCATGCTATCCTACAAACATTTTTCTTGTCGTAACCTGATGTTGTAATAGTTATATACATTTCATTCCACGTGTCTAACGTTTATTAATGAAAAATGATATTCAATGGTAGGATACTACGTCATCGCGCACCTGCTAAATGCTCCCACTTGGACCATTTTTTCGTCGCCTCGAAGGTAAAATACAATTTTATTATAAGAAAACGTAAGATTATCAAAAAATCATGTAGCGCACCAAAGAATGGCTATAGTTCTTGAGATAATTGTAAAAAATGTTTATAGATTCATCGCCTAGTTTAGGCCTGAAAACGGGATAAGTGTTTTTCTCTGAATGCTCCAACTCGGACTTTTCCCGAAACATATAAGAAATAAGGTTGAAAACCTTCTTGAAAATTATTTTTAACGTACCGGAACATAAACCGAGTCATGTTTACACATTTTTCTAGATTGGTTTCAATTATTTCTATTCAAGAGTCAGTTTTTATTAATTATTTTTATAAAAATGAAAAATGCTCCCACTCGGACTCGATTTCAGAGATGCTTCCACTCGGACCTAAATATATACAGATTTCGTAAAGCACATTGCTGTGTTAAGATATTATTAATATTATCTTTATATTCAAGTTCATATATTCATATAATCAGTTAGAATTCAATGAAACAGCATCTTTAAAATACGATACTAATATTTAGATCACTAAAGTTTTGACATATTATACCATTACAATCTCGTAAATATGTCTACTTTGAGGATCAGGTTTCGGCCTAAAAATAAGAAAAAATAGGTTCTGTTGAATAATTCCTCGTTAAATCGAGTCGCTGAATTTTTAAAAAATAAAATAACGTTTTGTTTTGCAGAAATGTTTTGTGTTTGCGACCAGTATGGGAAAAGGTATAAACCACCTTTCGACGCAAGGAAGCGCACGGCAGGACATCTAAGCACAGCGCATAGCTAGAACAAATATTTTAGATATCATCTGTGGATAGATTCTATATCACAGTGAGAAGGAATACTCAAGAAAACACACGAATAATAGCTCTTTGAAGTAATTGTCTTTTGTTCAGTTTTTGCGTTAAAATTTGGACAATATGTGTTTGGAGTTATTGCTCTTTTGTAATCACTCTTGATTAGTTTGCAAGGACCATACCTCTAAAGGTGTTTGAGATATAAACTTAAAACTTTATATTGAACATGTTTGCTAGAGGTGAATAGGAGAGCATAAGGACCAAAAGTGTTCTCTTAATGCTTCTTTTTTCTTTGTTTTTTCTTAATGGGAGTGTTATTATTGTTATGATTTATTATGTCTAGGCTATAACTAAAAACGTTTCATTAATTTTCACGAGTGTCATTACTTGGATTTTTACATGTATGTAAGGGTTACTTCCCCTTTGAAATGTATTTTTACCTTTTCGGCGGGTGATTTCACTGTCTGTGATTGCTTCTTTTATAGTTGTTATTATTTTTATACTAATATATGGTAAAGACTGTGATAAAGAAATAACTGTGATCTTTGTTTTCTAATTTATTTAATTTTGTTATTTAAGGTAAAAAATACGTACATATGATAACTTTCAGACTTAAAATTGTCAAAGGTGTCAATAACTGTGATAGATGCTTTATGTGCCATGGTATTGCAGTACATTGATTTTTTAACCAGTTCATGACAAAATTGATTAGCATGGTAATTTATTTTATATAGCTAAAAACAATTCAAGTCAACCGATAGAAATTGACTTCTTTAAGTTCATAAACGTACCATTATGATGTTTTAAAATCTCAAATCACAAGTTTAACAAACACACAAGTCATTGCGTTTTTAATTACTAACAAGATATTAAAGTCAGCAATTATTGAAAAAATGCAGGCCTCTAATATGTGTATGAGTCTAACAGAATCCTAAACAGGTATAGTACGAAACAATGTGTAATGACTTTTTTATAAAACACCACCATTTTTAATATCTCAACAAAACTTTATCCTTGAGATCAAAACTGTCCATTTAAAGTCTTATAGTCCTAGCTTTGTTGTTGGCAATAATTTTGAATCATCCCTTCAGATCCGATACCAACACAAGCCAAAATGCATCTTTTTGTAAAGTGATCCTGTCAGTTGAAACTTTGCCATGGCGCCTTGTTCCTGCACGACGACGTCTTTCTTTAGAATCAAAGAAGTGGTCTCTGTAAAAAGAAGAAAAGTGTTAATAATTATATCGCCAAACACATATTAGTAATTGATAAAATGGTGTAAAAATTGTGAAAATAATCCACAAAAGCTTAACACAGAAATGTGCTTTCAAAATCTGTACATGTTTGGGTCCGAGTGGGAGCACCTCTGGAATTGAGTCCGAGTGGGAGCATTTTCCATTTTTATAAAAAGAATTAAGAAAAACGGACTTTTGAATAGAAATATTTGAAACCAATCTAGAAAAAAAATGTGTAAACATGACTCAGTTTATGTTCCGGTTCGTTAAAAATAATTTTCAAGAAGGTTTTCAACCTCTTTTCTTATATGTTTCGGGAAAAGTCCGAGTGGGAGCATTCAGAGAAAAAAACTTATCCCGTTTTCAGGCCTAAACCAGGCAATGAATCTATAAACTTTTTTTACAATTTTCTGGGCCCAGGATAATATTGTTAGAACTTTTTGGCCAACCCTTTTCTTTTGTACGTACACTTCATGATTATATTTGTGAAGTTGTGAAATTTTATATAGTGTGCATATTGATGCAATAAAATATTATTTAACTACAATGTATATAATTGTGTTGCTTTAATTTGCTGTCGAGAGACACTATAAACAAAAATAGTAGAATATTTTCCTGTAAATGAGATTGTGCTAAATAATATTAAAAGATCTTGATATCATTTGATATGAATAGCAAGCTTTGAGTAATAGATAAATGTCCTGTCTCACACCCGTGGGACATATATACTATATAGTAAACTATCAGCAAAACCTGGCATAGAATGCCGAGTAAATTTGAGTCTGGGTTAATTCATGTCATAAAAAGTTGTCAGCCAAAAAACACTAGTCTTGGTGCCGTACCTAATGCAATAGGATTATGATACTGTGTAAATAGTCTTGAAAAAGACCCCCGATAAGCTATACAATGTAATTAAACGTGTAGGCTACTGCCTGTTTTACTTCTGATCGTAATCGATTACACTAAGCAGGCGACTCTTTTAAAATTTTTACGAGGACAAATGTAAATTATGATAAATAAGCATGAAATTTCAAAATTAACTCCTTAAGGCTTAGATACATGTTTATTATACCTGGGGTATAAAATGTCCCTTATTATACGGCATGTAATATTAGGAGCAGATAATATTACGTCAAACGAATCCGTCAACCGGACCGGATAGTGTACAAGTCTCACAATGTTACTTCCCTTAGTAGGAAAACACCATTTGTATCGAATTTAGAAACAAAACGAATGAAAGTAAACGATGGATAGATGGAATTGTACGCCTGTTGGTTACGAATTTAGATGTGGAGGATGCAATTTCAATAGTGAGTATCATGTCTCTGCTACACTGTACCATGTTAAACGCAAATGTAACTTTGTGCTGGTTCGAATACAAGTGAAGAAGTATTCGGACAATCTATTTTATTCGTATTCATTGTAAGTATCTAGCTTATTGTAGGTTCTCAATTGAAAGAACACAACAATATGGCTAGAATTGCACTATAAGAAATGGCAAAATCTGATTTAGTAAAACGTTCTTTTATTTTTCATGTTTGTCCATATGTACACTAACAAAGTTTGCACTCTTACCCTATGCTACGACCGGATGTAAACAATACGTTCGCACAGGGCATGCGCGGTGGTTAAATCCCACCCATTTTATTCGATTAAATTCTAGAACAACCTCTACTTTCGGTTTCAATTTTGCTGACAAGGAACAGTTTGAGTCAACGTAAGTGTTAATTTTAATTGCAATGTCCAAAACTTTGCACTACACGGCGTAATTTTCATTACATATCCGGTATTATCACCGTCATGGTAGTTTTTATTCCACTCGGTCAAAATGACGGTACACATTTACATGTAAACAAACAGATTTAACTTCTAAGACAATTTAAATAAGGAATGGACACACGGTAAACTCTGTTGCAACGTAAAGTATATTCATAAATCTGTTTGAGAAAAATTGTCTCCGTGTTCAAATAAATTTCAAAAACGGGAAAAAAAGCAGTCTTTTACCGATACCCTGCAACAGAACCTTATTATTCTGACGAATTAAATTGACTTTATAACGCTCGTATACAATTATTTATTGATCGATTTTCATTATATTTATTTTGCAATACCTATCATGCAATATGCAATCAAACAAAACCAAGTTTTCATACATTCAAGGAAATTGTAAGTTAGGACGAGCTTTCAAAACAAACAGGTAGCAATTTCCAACACGCTTACCGAAACTCCAACATGGCGGCTCATTTGCATAATTTATTCATAAACGCAGGAGCATAGAACTTTGTTAGTGATGTATTCAGGCTTTCAGCGCTGTTCCCAAAATCTTTTTTTAAGTGAAATTATAAATGTCTGTTACACAGTACCTAAAATAAAATGGTTTACAGTTAAAAAGAGTCATCTTACCACTATGGTTACAACGATTCACCAAATGTTCAATTTTAGTTTTGATTTAAGACACTCTGATTTGATTATTTTCGTTTGGATTCAATTTTGATTACTACTTTGTCTTTAGCTGACAATTCTGCTTATGTTAGCTTATGTTTTTGTGAAATGTTATACATATATACAGACAATAAATAAATTTTGATTTCATTTTGATTTGCTTATTTGCTATAAAAGTGAGTAGCCCTTAACATAGTTTATTTCTTCATTTCTTTAGTTGTATAACCGAAAATACAACGCTACACAAATATATTGATTTGATGACCAAGTAAAATTAATAAATTGTATGTAACATAATAAAGCGGTAGACTAGTCAGAGAGGGACTAAAACTCACATTTTTTCCATGTTTATTTTTTGTGAATCAAATTGAAAATGTTATATTTGACATCGAAAATCGAATCAGCACCCATAAAACTAGTATTTGAAGCATCGAAATGAATCGTTGCACCTCTGCTTTTCACTGCTTTAACGCTACAATGTATTGCTTGTATATAATGCAAATGATGACATCATGTCCTGTCAATTGTTATTACACTAACTAGTGTAATATTGTTTTTATTAAATGGCTGTATGCATGGTTTATGCAATAAATAAATTCATGAACATGTGTTAGTTATAAAGATTTTAACAGGTTATATCATGGCTCTTGGAAACAGTTGTGAGCTTTAATAGCCCGAGTGGCAAGCCAAGGGATTTATTTTAATACTCGGCAACATAAATGTTTTCTGTCAAAATTCTAATAGCCCAAGTGGCAAGCCAAGGAATTCATTGTAATACTCGGCAACATGAATGTTTACTGTCAAAAATCTTTGTTACAAGTTCTTAGTATAATACAATAATTAGGGCAGATTTTTTATCTGTGATTAACATACAGGTATATTACTTGATAATTTATTCAATTGATGATCTGTCTTCTTTTTCAGCTGATACATTTTATATTCTACACCAGCATCTTACCCAGCACAGAGAAGGTGGCAGTTACTTTTATCATCATTCTATGAAAACTGCATTTCCAAAGCATGATTTTCTATGTAGGGAAGTTCAAACCAATGATGCTGGACTGGGTCCACTGTTTTCTGCTTTGAAATCTGCTGAGACACGATCAATAGAGACACAGACTGTAATTAATGAATTAGAAACATCATGTACACAAACTGATGATGAAAATCAACTTGATTATGGGACTGATTTAAACATTGACATTAATGATGCCTTTAATGAGAAAAAGTTTGCAGCAAAATATCATGAAAGGAATGGGTGTAATACAAGCTTTAATTCATCAATTAGAGATAATGTAGAAGATACAAACATCTTTACTGAAAATCATGTGGTAGTCAAAGAAGAAGTAGACAATTTTAGTGATGGAAATACCCTTCCTTATTCTCCTAGTAAGCACAGTAGAAATGGGGATACAGACCAAAGTGATGTAGACTTAACCTCGGATGATAGTGATATAATGAATGCTGATGATGTTGTCATTTCAGATGATGATATGAATATTTCGCTCTTCAGTGCAGAAAAAAAGAAAAAAGTGAAAAAGAGAAGTAAAGATAAGAAAAGTAAGAAAACCAAGAAGCTTTTAAAGCTTTTTGACTCAGCTAGAAAGTTGTCAAATCCTGCTGCAGATAATTCTTATGCTGAAAGCGAAAAAGGAGAAAACTTTAAAGACAAGAAACAAAGAAAGAAGTATACCAAACGATCAGGTATTGAATATTACAACTGTCTTGTTTGTCCGCAGAAGTTTGCTTGTCAGAAAAGCTGGAGTGTACACATTGAAAGCAAACATCATGATACATACCCTGACAAATGCCAGCAGTGTTCCATGGTATTCAGTAAGCCTGAGGAGCCGATGACCCATGACTGCCAAATGTCACTGCGCTTTAATCATGTCTGTTACAAATGCCCCAATATGATTTGCTTTAAGTGGAAAGAGAACCTTCGTCAACATATAAAGGATGTGCACAATGATGTTCTTCCATACAGTTGTTCAGTATGCAACAAATCTCTCATATCTGAACTAGATTTGAACAGTCATATGGTAGAACATGACTCTTCTCTCCTAAATTGTACAATTTGTAAGAAACATTTTGCTTCATATATGAACTTGGAGTCTCATATGTTGTTACATAAGCGGAATCACATTTGCGAAAGATGCGGAAAATGTTTTGACAATAGAGAAAATTTTAAGCATCATTCCTGGGCATGTAAGGGAAAGTTTGCTTGTATTCAGTGTAATAAGACCTTTTGTACTAACAATAGGTTAAAAGGACATATGTTGATTCATAGCGGAGAAAGACCTTACATCTGTGAACAATGTGGTCAACCATTTAGGAGCAAGGAAGGTTTGAAGTCGCATACAAAGTTTATTCATACTGGGGAAAAGAATTACAAGTGCAGCCATTGTGAGAAAGTGTTTACAAACTCGACAACTCTAAAGCGGCATGAGAGAGTTCACTTGAAGATAAGACCGTTCTCGTGTGACTATTGCAGCAAGGAATGTTCCACACGCTGGAATCTCAAAGCTCATATGAGACAGCACAATGGGAAGAAGCCGTACAGTTGCGTCCATTGTAGGGCAGGTTTCGCTCACAATGTAGCGAGGAAAAACCATGAATCGAAATGTTCATATGCATATAAAACTGATATACCAATGAATTTCACAAAAGATTGGGGTGTACAGGGAAACAGTAATTTGATGCAAATATAATTGTCAGTTATGGTCTTCCTAAAATCTTAACTTTTCAAGTTTGAAATATGCCTTTTCGTTTAAGTGATCAGAATAAATATTCTTAATTTATATATACATGTATATATATTTTTTTCTCTACTGAATGTTTCAAAGAGGCTTTCTATATTCCTAACATGAAACTTCATTTTGCTTTAGAAAGTTCATGTTCTTTTTTCAAAATATTTAAGGAATGTTACGTATTAAAATTATTGTGAAAAATAAATGTCTCTTGAATTATGCATAAAGTAAACTGTGATAAAATAACTCAGCAAATAATAAGATGTTAAGTATAAACATTTGTTGTTAAGTTTATTTATTATAATAAGAATTTATTGACATGTACAAGTACACAAATAATAATAATAATAACGATAAAATTGTAGAGCTATGCATTAATTTTACAAAAAAATAAAAAATAAAAAAATGTAATTTTTGAGAATATTTTAACAGATGAGAAATATTTTTAAGTGTTTTAGTTTGTAAAAGGTTTTTATTATTCAGTAATTTTAAATAAACATATAAAAATGTATCTTCAAAAAGTTGTCACTACATGTAAGTGGCATCAGTAGTCTTATCCCTTGTAAATTTTTAAATGTACCAGAGCACTTTAATGATGTGTTCAATAGATAAAGGTGTCCATATATTCTATGCAAATTGCTTTTAATATGAATAAGTTATTTCAGATGGCAATACAAGTAGTCAAATTTCTAATTGGTCTTAAATTGCATTTATATTCATATTTGATAAAAGCATTAATTCCTCTTGCTGTACGAGATTGAAATTTGTTTTAATTCGGTGTCACTGTCATGGTTGGTTCTAATATAAAAAAAGACAGTACTGATATAGTTATTTAAGAAATAATGTATCCCAAACAGTGATTTTATCGTTCAATAACATCACTGTTTGAGGTTTGGATGTGAGGCATTATATGACAAGGACGTAGCCCGAGGGATATAGCGATGTATGTTTGAACGACAAACAGTGATTTTATCAAGCGATAAAACCACCGATTTGAATATATTATTACGATTCTAACATAACATCAACAAATAAATGCTGTCGTACTTGAGTCTTGATATTAAGTTAAATTATGCCTGATTTGTTTCCGTACCTATTTTCAGCGTGTTGCATATTTAGTTGTTACGTCACATGTATAATGATTACATCACATGTCTAAATATAGGACATCAACAGTGACTTTATTGCATAATAATACACACTTTTGAAAGTTTTGGTTCTTCAGTATTAAATAGGGAAAAATGCGGGTAGGTTAGAATACTGGTTAGTTATCCAAGAAGGCCAGTTTGGTAAATGAACCACCGAAATATGACTAAGAATGTGTTAAAATCAGAAAAACAACAGAAAAACAAATATGTGGTTAGGATAGGAATTATTCTTAAAACAATTTGTAAGAAATTTTAATAAACTTAAAGACTTTCTGTAACAATGCATTTTAAGGAGTGACCAATTAGAAATTTTGTTAAGAGTATTTATATGCAATTCATTATACTTGTAATACATAATCTAGTTAATTTTTTCAAACAGTGAAATAGATAAAAAGACCGAAATTCTTTGCTGTATGAAAGACTTGATTATAATTCAAGGCAGATAATTTCCTAGGTCATGGCCAAAAGCAATAAAAATACACTTGGTTTTTAGCTCACCTGTCACAAAGTGACAGGGTGAGCTTTTGTGATCGCTTTTCGTCCGGCGTCCGTCCGTAAACTTTTACTTTAAATGACATCTCCTCATAAACCACTAAGCCAATTTCATCCAAACTTCACAGGAATGTTCCTTTGGTGGTCACCTTTAAAAATTGTTCAAAGAATTTAATTCCATGCAGAACTCTGGTTGCCATGGCAACCAAAAGAAAAAACTTTAAATATCTTCTTTAAAAAAACCCTAAGAGCTAGAGCTTAGATATTTGGCATGAAACATCTTCTAGTGAGTGTCTACCAAGTTTGTTCAAATAAAAGCCCTGGGGTCAAAATTGGCCCCGCCCCAGGGGGTCATTGATTTTCCCTATATGCACATAGTAAAAACTTAAAAAATCTTCTTTTAAAGAACTCAAAGAGCTAGAGCTAAGATATTAAGCATGAAACATGTTCTAATGGGTGTCTACCAAGTTTGTTCAAATAAAAGCCCTGGGGTCAAAATTGGCCCCGCCCCAGGGGGTCATTGATTTTCCTTATATGTGTATAGCAAAAACTTAAAACTCTTCTGTGAAAAAACCGAAATAGCTAGAGTTAACATATTAAGCATGAAACAACTTCTAGTTAGTGTCTACAAAGTTTGTTCAAATAAAAGCCCTGGGGTCAAAACTGGCATCGCCCTTGTGGTGTCATTGTTTTTAACTATATGTGTATAGTAAAAACTTTAAAAATCTTCTTTGAAAAAACCCAATGAGCTCAGAGCTTAGATGTTTAGCATGAAACATCTTCTTATGAGTGTCTACCAATTTTGTTCAAATAAAAGCCCTTGGACTAAAATTGGCCCTGCCGGGGGGGGGGGGGGGGGGGGAGGCCTATATACAGGTGAGCGACCTCAGGGCCATCATGGCCCTCTTGTTGTTTTTTTAATGTTTTATATGTGTATATGTAATTCTACATATGTATTTTGATTACTATGACTAGTTATTTGTTAAATATCTATTTTTCTTGTGTTGAATTTAATTCTAGATCTAGTTAAGTTCAGCCTTTAATAATCCCCTGACAAGAGGAAGCCACAGGGATTTTTTTCCTAAAAAAGGCATTTTATCGCCATTTTGATTCATGTTTTACAAGTGATTACATTGTAATTGAACTTGCAACAATATATGATAAAAAGGAAATGTTATTCATTAAATATTTTCAAATTCTGAATGTGCATTTTTGAGTTATGGCCCTTTGTTAAATTCAGAAAAGGTAATTTTTTAAGGAAAAATACCATATTGGGACATATTTTTACCAGTTTATATGATTGTAATTTCTGTAAGCTAGCTGGATAGCTTCCTAACATGAAAAAATCCAAAGTCATTGGTGGGATTTGAACCCAAAGCAGTGAGGGGCAACTGGTTTGAAATCAATGACCACTCTGTGAAGTAAAATAAAAACATTTCTAAGGGAAACTTGACCAATCTCATTGTGCTAGATTTTAATATGTCTTGGTGTGAATGTGTATTTCAGTAAGGAATTTTATCTTGCAATCAAAGTGCATTAATTTTGATTATTTATTGAAGTCTGGTCATTGATTTAAATGAATTACCGGTAGTTGTGTTTTCAAGAAAAAGTCAGATATTGAACTGCTAAGTTAGTATTTATTCAAAATTGATTAGCATATATATAATCTTAAATAAGATAATTATCTGCATGTGTGTTGTTCAATTATAATCGTTAGTAAATAGGTTTGTAAGCAAAAATGTCTCCCCAGAGCCATGAATTAGTAATAATACAGTACAGTTACCTCCCTTTTATAATAACCAACATCTGCATTGCATAATTGAAAACTCTTTTTAGCAGTATAAAGTACATGACTTGTATTTGTAACATTTTATACATTTTAAATATCTTAATAGTGATTCTTTAAAATGTTCTGTTAATACCTCTTATTTATTTATACAAATCATTTATTTATATCCCACAATTACCATTGCTAAATATATGGTATAATGTTAATTTCAGGTCTAATTGGGCTAAATTATAATTCTGTACTCTTGAATCCTTTAATACACACTTTAGATAAATGAACAACTGACATTACACAATTTGATAAAAAAATTTCAATGTCATTATTATTATTTTGTCACCTTAGTGCACTATTGGTTTAACTTCTATTAAATTCAATATGATTTAACCTGTTACTGCACTAAGGTGATGATAACTCAAAATGTTATTATTTACCACAAGAGTTAATTTGCCTAACAATTTTCAATATATTAGGTTTTGTATAATTTTAAGGAGCGATGACAAATTCATTTTCACTTCTTAGACTATTATATAATTCAGATTACTGAAATGCTTCATTTGAGTGATTTATATTAGGTGGCAGGCCGGATATCAGTTCAGCGTATTTACTTGTTTATAATTCTGCATGTTTGGATTTTCATTTAATGATTTTGACGTTAATATAGCTTTTTATAATACTGCACATTTGTAAAGTCGCTTTTCATTGGATAATCATGACGTTTATATAATTTTATATCCACGGCTGTTGTCAATTCATGAAGAAATCTTACTTTTTTCTCTAAAAAAGGATGCTGTATTATAAATTTGTTATAAAGATTGTTGACTGGTAATATAAATGGCTGGTGGCTTGGGTTATATTTACAAACAGCCATTTATATAGGGCCATATAACCTGTCAAGAATCTTTATAAATAATAATATACAAGGCTGATGTCAATTTATGAAGAAATCTCACCTTTTTTTCCAAATAAGGTATTTTGCTGTATTTTTAATTTGTATTATAAATATTTTTGACTGGTTATATGACCATATATAAAATTCTATATATATATTCCTGACAGGTATTATGTTTAAAATTCATTATTAATATTCTTGTCAGGTTTTATGTATAAAATGTGTTATAAATATTCCTGACAGTTTATATGTATAAAGTTTGTTATACATATTCCTGACAGCAGGTTATATGTATCAAATTTGCTATTATTATTCTTGACAGGTTATATGTATGAACTTTGTTATAAATATTCCTGATAGGTTATATGTATAAAATTTGTTATACATATTCCTGACAGGTTATATGTATCAAATTTGCTATTTATTCCTGACAGGTTATATGTATGAACTTTGTTATAAATATTCCTGATAGGTTATACATGTATTTATAAAATTTGTTATAAATATCCCTGACAGGTTACATGTATAAAATTCTTTATAAATATTCCTGAATCATTATAATTATGACCATATATAAATGATTGTTTACTATGTTACCCTCACTTTGAAGCACAGGTTATATTTCCAAACAAATGTTTGGTAATATAACCAGCCAAAAACCTTCATAACTAAATTAGTATTTGTTATAACCTTTGGTTAGGGAATTGCTAGATCAAAGAACCTTATAATTTCAAAATTTTAAGCACCCAGGGATGCACAGTATTTGTGTATCTTAAATGAGCCGCGTCATGACAAAACCAACATAATGGGTTTGCGACCAGCATGGATCCAGACCAGCCTGCGCAGTCTGATCAGGATCCATGCTGTTCGCTATCAGTTTCTCTACTTGTAATAGGGTTTGTAAGCAAACAGCATGGATCCTGATCAGACTGCGCGGATGCGCAGGCTGGTCTGGATCCATGCTGGTTGCAAACGCATTATGTTGGTTTTGTCATGACGCGGCTCAAATTTGTTTTTATTTTTCTAAGCTGTTGATGAATAATATTTTTTTTTTATTAAACTATATAAAAGATCTGTAGAATTCATGCCTTAAGCCATTAATGTCCGAATTAAATTATTTATGTCATGTTGATGTGTTGATAACATATTTATACTTATTTATATATAGAGAATACATTAATAGTTAGGTAGATTAAATGATTATAATTTTGCAAATTCATTAAAAACCCATTGTAAAATACTGGTAGTATGTTGATCTCGGTAGATTGGGTTTGTTTTTTGCAATCAGAATTTAGATGTTATTTTTTTGTTATGTTATATAAAACTACTATATTACACAATAGCATGAATAGATTTTATAATTTAGGTATTGTGTTGATATTTATTTCTCATGAGAATTAATTTATCATAGTCATTTTAAACTGCATAGCTTTGCTGGTCGAACATTAAGTCTACCTATCATGTATTATAGTATTCAAGACATGAGCTTGGTAGAGTTTTTCATAACACAACAGTTGACAACAGTCATCCGTTCCCCACTGCTGTTAAAATGATATATGTCGAGAAGTTGGCAGTTACTTGGAGGAATAATAGGTGCAAAATCCAGGGCAATTCTTATGTAATTGCCTGCTAGTAGAATATAGAACCATTATGAAAATGGCACTCTTAAAGAATGTTTAAAATAGCATTTTAATAGTTTAATTACTAATTTATTATTTTTAATTTGGACTTTGCAAAATTAATAAATTTCTATCAAAATAATCTCATTATTAGTTTTATGTTGAAAATGTTTGAAATAAAAATATTTAATAGGTGTTATTATAATAATCAGTTTATTTAACTGAAATGCCAAATGGACTGTTGTAAATATTTTAACTGATTTCACAATTTTACAAGTTGATCTACTCTTTTTCATGAATGTTTGGACTGGTGGAGGAAGACCTCAGGTGCCCTTCCGTGCATTATTTCAGGCACAAACGGGCACCTGAGTAGAACCACCGACGTCCCATAAGCCTAGCTGGATAACTTACTCAGATGAAATAATTCAAAGTCCCTGTCGGTATTCGAACCCACACCGGTGAGGGGCAAGTGGTTTGTCAACGACCTTAACCACTCAGCCACTGACGCCCCTTTTTATGAATAAAGTAATAATAGTTTTCGATAATTTAAGAGATAATATGATCATTATTTGCTTTGAAATTGGATGGTCTATGGAATATAATGATGTACTATGTACAAATAAAAATATGTTCTGTTCTATTCTGATATTAAATGGTTGGTTTTTTAAATCGCAATATTAAATAACCTTAATTCTCAAACTGACATATTAGCTAAATGTTAATGGTAGGATAAAAAGATTTTGTTTCTTTCTTGAAACCATAAAATAGTTTGATGAGCCGTGTAACACCGCAAAACGTCAGTACCGCAAAACGTACGTATATAGACGTTTTGCGGCGCATATCGTCCACATTTTTCTGACGTACATTTTGCGACAAAAAGGCATGGTCCTGCCGCATAACGTCCATATATCAAAGTTTATATAATTTTCGTTAATTTTGACCAGTTATTATCAGGTGTTATTGTGCGTTAATTTTAGCTCACCTGAGTATGCGCCTGTCTGTCCGTCCGTCCAAATTAAGCTTGTTACCACTCTAGCATCCACATACCCTAAGCAATATGTCCTGAGTTATCTGCCCTTGAATTACAATATTAGTTATATTTCACATTGTTTCCACTCCAACGCTTTCATTTCTTCTTCAATCTTGACAATTTTCAACAGAATATCATTCTATGACCATAAAATCTTTATAGGCTAAATCTAACAAAAAAAAAAAAAAAAAAAAACACGCACTATATTTCACCTTGTTAGTGCTTTCGTTTCTTAAATTACCATATCTTTTGTTATTTACAGATATTTGGATATTGATGACCATTTCAGACGTAGAATTGAGTACTGATATCAGTTACCCAGATTCTGACCAAGTACATGAAATGTACTTGCTTTTTATTTGTAATATTCAATGCTATCTACCCTTGTCATGTGGAGCCTTTATAGGCAGGTGGGCGATATAAGGCCACTATGACCTTTTTGCTTTGTTCAATTATAAAATTACATTGTTCAATAAAAAAATTACATTATGGCATTCAAACAAAACGCTTACATT